ACAACACAACACAACATTAACAAATGAAAGCTTTACTTCAGAGTGTTTTACACATAATTTCTTTTTGCAATATTGTATTTAAAAATGTAAACTTATTATAAATAATTAATTAATATTTTATTTAATAATTTTAGTAATTTTAATTAATATTTTTATACTTATATATATAAAAAAAAAGCCTTGTCGTCACAACACAGCCCAACACTCCCAAACGAACCCTAAGCTTCAACCCAACTAATATTCCTAAATATATTCTAGGAGAAATTACACAACCTATTTGTGATTTGAACTGAGTGCATTTAAAGGTTTGTGGTATTAAAATATCCACTTAAAAACTTGTGTTTTGAATATTGAGCACTAAACCACTTCTACTATCCAAATAATGTTGAAACTATATGCAATATCTTAAATACTCTTGACCTAAAAAGTTTTTTTTTTTTAAAAAGGAGAGAAAATGCTCAACCGACGCATAGACTCTCTTTCATGATAATCTTCAAACATCGACTCAAGTGATGATGAAACCAAATAAAATAACTCTCTGCAAGTAATCAAACAAAATCTTTTAATCTATTGTCGTTTATATTCCAAAGCAAAACCTTGTTTTTAATTTTCTTTAATCGACTTTTTTGTGTTTGGTTGGAAATTTTGTTGCTTGTTTAGGATTTAAAAAGTGAGGATTTCATTTGAAAATTGAGAGATTCTACCTTAGTCATTTGCAATTATAAATAATATATTCTTAATTTTATGCAAATTTAGTTTTAATTAGTTTCAATAGTACATGCTAATTATGAATATTTACATGTGCAAATTAATTTTTTTTTCATTGAATTACACAAGTGGTTTGAATGTGGCTAGTTAAAATGAATGAATGAATTAATTATTATCATTTGTTTTTGTCTTTTGACAGATGGATAGTAATGAGTTGCTAAGAAATGATGAGATTGTAAGTGGTTTTAATGAGTTAAATGAACTACAATTCAACTTTTTGTGCTGGACAAGATAGTGGTGTTAGGCAATAACGGCATTAGAGGAATTAAGATAAAAAGTGATTTTCCATTAGGTTTTTAATGACAAGAGTGTCTCACTAGTCTTATTTCAAAACACAGGTCTTTAAATACACATTTTGATACTACATGCCTTTAAATGCACTCACTCTAAATTATAAGTAGGTTAATTGTAATTTCCCCTATATTCTACTTGTAGGGGTGGCTTGCTTAATATGTGTTTAATTTTATCTTGTTGGAAATGATATGTTGTAGTATTGTTCCATGCCTAACTTAAGTCCATGTTTTTTTAATTTTATCTTTAGATTAAGGATTTATGAATAATTTATATTTTCACTTATATTATTTAAAAAAAAATTTAAAAAATAAGAAAAAAAAATTTCATGATAGAATGAATTATTAAAGTTAAAAAACAATTATAAAGTACAAGTAGGAAAAAAAATATCATCTTTAAAATATGAGAAAAAAAAGAGGGAAATTGAAAATGTTTCGTCTATTCTCTTCGACCAAAGAAAGATGACTTTTGATAAGACGTACAAGACTGATCTTGCTAGTATGCTACTCACATTTTGGGCTGTATGCCCATTTACAACATATTAGAGGCTTTCCAGCAGAAAGATCAAGTAAATCCTATATACAAGTTTTCTCAAGAACTTATAATTCATCTTGCATAGCTTGCTGTCAAAGAGGGTTAGAAGAGGCCTGTTGATAGGATTAAGGCTTATGTAAGGAGGCAATAGCAGGAAAACAATGATAATCACAAAGATTACTAGGAGGATTTCTTACTTGAGTAGGACTACTTGAAGGTGGATTAAGGATCTCATTTTCAAGCTCAATATTAACAAAGTTAGATCTAACAGTTGATACAGAAAAGTAAGGGAAGAAGACTCAGCATTATCTAATGCATTACTAGCAAGCAGAGTATCGTTTATAAAACCAAGTGGAGCATGTAAAGAGGCATCATGGAGTGTATCAAATGTGTCTGCAATAGATTCATTAGGAAATAGCTCAATAGAAGGGTTAGTAAAAAGTGGAGGTTAATTAAAAGATGACACCTAAAAGTTTGATAATGAGGAAAACATAGTGTGTTTTCAAAAGATAACATAACGTGAGACTTTAAGTTTTTGTGACATAGGGTCCCAACAACAGTATCCTCTATGTGTAATCCCATAACTTAAAAAACAACATAATTGAGCTTTAGGCTCTAGTTTGTTATGTTCATGAGGTGGAAGAAGAACAAAACAAGCACAACCAAAAACCTTAAAATGATCATAGATCGAAGGAATACCACACAAACATTCGTATGGAGACTTGTTATTGATGACTGATGATGGAATTCAATTAATGAGATAAACAACTACAAGAGCAGCTTCACCCTAAAATTGGTCTGGATAAGAAGACAAAATAAGGAGAGCATGAACAGAATCAAGGATGTGTTTGTGTTTGTGTTTGGCTCGTCCATTTTGTTTAGAAGTGTACGGACAATATTTTTGTGTCAATGTGCCTTGTTCTTTGAGAAAAGATTAAAGTTTAGTACTAAGATATTCAATGACATTGTCAATTCTCAAAATTTTGATAATTTTAGGGAACTAGGTTTTGATCATAGTAGCAAAATCAATATAAAGTTGTGGTAATTAAGAGTGATTTTTCATAAGATATATCCAAGTAAAACGAGTATGATCATCAATAAATAACACAAAGAACCTAGGACCCCCCCACAGTAAGTGTAGGAGATGGACCTCAAATATCAAAATGCATAAGATCAAAAGAAGCAGTAGAAAGAGAATGACTATTAGAAAAAGATAAAGCTGGTTGTTTTGTAGATTGATATGATACATAATGCAATGATTCATTTAGAAGAGATTCTAATAAACCAAGAGAGATAAGAGGATAGATTTTACCGACGAAGGTGTGTCCAAGCTATGAGTGCCATAAATCAAGAGGAGTAAAGACTCTAATTCAACAGCACAAAGTAGGGTTTGGATGAATCAATCATTTGGAAATGATGATGTATCCATTTTATGACGAGGAATATGCAGATACTTGAGCTCAAACATATACCCCACCTTGCAAACAGTTGTCCTATTTGTGGGTATTGCACATGACAACCATGAGTAGAAAATGTTACTACAAGACCAATATCGCATAATTGACCAATAGATGAAAGATTATGACTAAGTTTTGGAACCAAGGGAGCGTTAGATAAAGTCAATGAATTTGTAGCAATATTGCCAATGTGACTAACATTCATAAGAGAACCACCACTAGAATAAATGTCAAGAAAGAAATGATTTGGTACCATTGAAGAGAAATAAGCAGTAGTTGAAGACCTATGATTATAACAACTAGAATCAAAATACCAAGGTTTAGTACTTGGAGCAGCAAATAAGGCATTATGAACATTAAAAAGATTTAATATAACCTATTTTAGATATTCAAGATTGACAATAGGTTGGTCTATCACTTCTTTGACAACCATTGTAGCAGCAGGATGAGATATAATTCTTTTAAAACTTGCCAAAGAATTAGTAGAACTCATAATATTGAAAAATTTTCTAAAAATATAAAGAAATAGATGCCAAGATTGAAATAACAATTCAACAAAATACATTAGAAAGGGCTTGAGAATTGAGAATAAAGCGATCTAATCTACAGGAGAAAAGAACTCAACGACAAAGTTTCAGATCTAAAATGGATTTGAAAATCTAACTCAAAAATCATGTAGTGATGTTAAAAGAGAAAAACTAGGATCTTATTGCTCTAATACCATGTTAGAAATAGGAAAGAAGGATAAATATTTAAAGAATGGTTTATTGCTTTTTTTAATAATACTGTATATACAGTGACCTATGTATAAGTGTTTATAAAGATAATATTCTAAGGTATAAAGTTTACAAAGAAAATATTTAAGCTATAAAATATTTACAATAAATGTAAATAGTATAAATAAGTGTAAATAGTATGAATATGGTCTGAATAGATGATTGTAAATTATCGTATTCACATCTTAACAAAAGAGAGAGAGAGAGAGAGAAAAGTGCGCAGGCAGCATGAAGGAAATGGTGAACATACCATGGAAGATACTACCAAGGCCATTTGCTCAAAACTATACTCAACAACCACGCTCAGCACCACCGTGTCCCTTAGCTGCTTATCCTCCATAGCTCCTGGCGTGTCGGGAAAACATCTCACATCCTCGAATGTACAATTCCAATATCAATTTATGCTTCTCAAATAAAAACACTACTTTCCCAATTCAAAGAAGTTCCTCTAGCGTGTTGTGCTTCTTGTAAGGGTAAGTCCAGAGCTTCCCGTTAGAATAGCTACACGACAGTTACGATGGACATCCTTGTATCTAGATATATCTCAATCTCCCGGTCCCAAAATAACTGCTTGGAGATACATATCACATCCCGGATATTTTGCTTAGCTCAATCTCCCGGTCCCGAAATAACTGCCTGGAGATACACATCGGATCCCAAATATCTTGCTTGGCATCTTGATTGGCATGCCGCGTGGATTCTGCATCGGAACATATAAATACCTCTTAAGGGCCACGCCAAAAGGTAATTGAAACCAACCCTAAGCTCCTTGTGTCTACGCTTTAAAGGTAGCCTCGATTATTGCTGACTTAAGCATCAGAGTGTCTACCCCGAGGATCCACCTCGGGGCTTTGCAGGTTAATCTAGAGTGCAGATACGGACTGAAGAAGGACTTCTGGTTTGGTGCAGTTACATTTTGGCGCCGTCTGTGGGCTTCTGAACTAAAGGCTCCTTTGTTGCTCTTACCATGGTTAAAACTAGTTCAGCCCGAGGTGGAAACTCGTCTCAGCCTCTTGGAAGAGGTCAGGTCCCCAGCAACCTTCCACCTCATCCTCCACCCCCAATCCCATGCAGAAGGAGAAGACAAAAATCAACCACACAATTCGGTTAGCAACTCAGCCTCTACTGCTAACCAAGACGTAGTTGCAACTCAGCTCGCTGCCATGCAACAGCAGTTTGGTGTCTTTCAGCAAGTGCTGGCTTAGTTGTTAGCCCGGAACAATCCTGGTGATCCACTCATCAATCTACTTAATCCTGCCCCACCACAACCCCCAGCCCCACCACAAAATCCTGAACCAGTTCAACGTGCTCCCGCTGTTAGTGAATCTCAGGGCCAATCTCACATTTCACCAGTTCAGCAACCTCCTCATGATGATGTCACTCGACGTCTAAATAGCTTAGAAAGGCTAGTGGTTGAACAGCGAGGTGCCCCACCTCCATACCCTGCTGTTGACTCCGTACCCCACCCTCTCAATACCAATATTGTACTGGAGCCCTATCCCACTGGCTTCAGAATACCACAACTTGAAACTTATGATGGGACGAAGGACCCCGATGATCATCTACATGCTTTCTACTCTTGCATGCAGGCCCAGAACGCCTCTGACGCGTTAATGTGCAAAATCTTTCCCTCTACTCTCCGCAGTAATGCTCGAACCTGGTACTACAGTCTACCTCCGAGGTCAATCAACTCTTACACAGAACTGGCATCTGCTTTTGCCACAAAGTTTTCCAGTAGAAGATTGATAAGGAAAACCACTTCTGAACTAATGCGAGTTAAGCAAAGGGACGGAGAGTCTTTGAAGAATTTTATAAACAGATTCAATGATGCAGTGCTGGAGGTTAATTCTTTCGACCAAGCTGTGGGAATTACAGCGGTGATCTCGGGTCTTGGCCGTGAGAGGTTCCGAGATAGTCTGCTCAAACATCCTGCCAACACCTTCAGCGAGGTAAATGATAGATCATTGAAATTCATAACTGCTGAGGAATATGCTCTGTCGCAGAACCTAACTCCTACTAAGAGCCAACACCCAGACTGGAGAGATGAGAATCCGGACAGGAAACGGATGAAGACAACACAGAACCGAGGTCCGATGTCGACCCCGAGATTCGGAAGGCCGAACTCAGCACCTCCGCAACAACCTGCAGGTAAACCTCTAGTTAATTGGACTCCTTTTAATATACCGAGGTCACAAATCTTTATGCAGATTAAGAATAAGATGGACTTAAGACGTCCGGGTCCAATGAGAACTGCTGCTGCTACCAGAGACCATACTAGGTACTGTGATTTTCATCAAGATCACGGTCATACAACAGAGCAATGTAATAATCTGAGGTCCGAACTAGAAAGTCTGGCACAAAAAGGAATGTTGAATGAGTACATCCAGAGAGTGCAACAGCCAAGGTTTGTCAGAGAACAAGGGTCACAGCATCAAGCAATCCGCAATCCCCCAAACAGACAAGGTGTGGGATATCAGCAAGCCCCACCCCCACTCCCACCACCAGCTAGAGTAATACACATGATTACGGAAGGTCTGGAAGCCGGTGGACTGAGCTCTACGCAGCGAAAGCTGTATGTCAAAGAGGTTAAGCATCAGAACCGAGCTCAGAAGCGAAAATTTGACGATGCTGAGTGGAAGAATCAACCCATCACTTTCACATCTGCTGATCTCGAAACAGTTGTCACACCTCACAATGATCCTCTAGTTACTTCCATCACGATCAACAATTGTGAAGTGCAGCATGTCCTTGTTGACACAGGGAGCGCACCAGACATCATGTACTTCCATTGTTTTGAGAGTCTTGGGTTAGATCCCGCTCTGTTGCAGCGGTATGATGGTCCCATTTACGGGTTTAACAACCAACTAGTTCCAGTTGAAGGAGTCCTCACTATGAATGTTGCATTTAGCAGTGGCCGAAGTTATGTGACCCCTTCAGTCAGGTTTTTGGTAGTCAAGATGGCGTCCTCATTCAATGTCGTCATTGGTCGACCCACACTGACTGAAATCCGAGCTGTGGTATCCCAATCTCATCTATGCATGAAGTTCCCAACTCCTACGGGAATAGCAACGCTGCGAGGCAA